TCACAACATATTTCCCAAAAGAGACGCTCACCTGGAGATGCAACACCCGGACTGTCTGTCAAAAAGGATGTGAAGTGAAACCCTTCCTACTTTATCTTTTGCTTCTTCTGAAGTAATGAGAACAGACGTAAAACAAAACAGACTAAGCAGCAAAAGTGTTTCCATGAAGTAACCTTTTTCTTGTAATCATTGACACCCTTGTTAATTGTGCATAATTTGCACCTTAACCTGAAGCACTTTGGGTCTTCTTTTTTCCCCTGCCTTAACCACTTAAGTAGATCTCAAATTCATCAAGATGAAGAGAAGCATTAAAATAAAACAGCTTTCCACTCTGAAAGAATTTGAGAATGTTACAGTAGTAGTTCTTGAATGTCAATTCATTGTTGATACTCACCTCAAGACAAACATTATTTTTATTTTCAATTTCCTATTTACTTGTTATCAAAATCATGTAGTTACACCTATTTTTTTAAGGAAGCTTTTTATATAAATTCCAGTACAAACATTAAACCTTTGTATGCTCCTAGGTGTGTCCTTTCTCTCTCCCATTCCACAGTCTTATTACTTGCAGCTTCTGCCTTCTGCAAATCTGTAGGTCAATGGAAAAAGTGGTTCCAACATCACACATCCTCAAGCCATATGGGTGTTTTCTCCTTTTTCTTCCATAGCTTGTTTTCCTTGTGCTCTGGGTCATGACCATATGCTCAGTGTCACACGGTATGACCAGCACAGATGATGGAGATTTTCTCTCCCTGGTTTCCAGATCACTCTCACCCTTGTCATTCTCTTGCCCACTCTTTGTTCTTTAGAACCTTTCTCTGGATTTTCCCAGTAGGTGTCTTTGGCAGATCTTGAACAAACTCCACCTGAAAGGCAAAAATGCTCACTCGTAGCCAAATACTTTCTAGTTAATTTCCCAGGCACAAAAAAAGAAACACATTTGTTATGACTGGGGATAAAAAGATGGGAGGCTGCCCAGTGTGGTCTGGGACAGTGAAATTCCTTATTACACACTGCAGTTGACTTGTAGGGACAAGTACCACAGTCCCGAAGAGATGAATGCTTCAGCAGTCAGGACATGGACCTACTGGTGTCTTTCTTGGGGTAAAGAGGTGAATTCCACCCCCACTGATGCCAGCAGGAATTTCCCCTTTTCTTTGGCTGAGAGTCTGAACAGAGGTCAGGGGAGGAATGGGTAAGTTCAGTGTCTTGCCCTTTTGAGCTGGTGGGAAAACCCCAGTATTCCATGAAAGGAAAACTGGACCCTGATGAAGTAAAACCACACGAGCACTGCCTCCCTTTGGGTTCTTTTGAGCACACATAGTGAACCCAAAGCTACAGCTGCAACACACCCTGTCATCTACTCTGATTTTATTTAGCTTGTGTTGGAGTATTTGTCAGAGTGCAGCTGAAAAGGAGCTGAGGCAGGACAAAAAATGCTCAGTTTCTGGTACAATTAGAAGACCTGTCTTTTGGGACTATATTTACCTTCCTTGGATACTTGTAAGGTGCAGTCACTTTCTTGACATGCTGTTGAAGCTCCTGAGTTAATTTTTCTGGATCATGTGATGCAAAAGCAGGAGTTAAAACAATGAAGGCTTTGACTACCTGTGTCAGAAAAATTAAGGGATTCCATTAACTTTCAGAGGTGGGAATAAAGAGATACATTTCTTGTGAAAAGTGAGTGTCTAAATTCAGAATGCAAAAATTCAAGCTTTTTCTTTAACTTCCCTTTTATTATCTCTTTATGACAGAATGGTGTGTTATGAAGGCTGTATTCTGCAGCAGAGGATTTTTTCCCCACTTTCTTTTCCCTTAATTTTATATCCTGTTAAAGCTGAAGATCTCATCCCGGTTGCTCAAAGAAAAAATATAGCTCAAAGGTGAAAAATATAAAACAAAAATTGTACACTCCAGATACCATGGATTCAATGTGCTTAGTGACAAAAAGAGGAATAATACAAATTCCATTACTTAGGCAAAAAGATGCCACAATAAGTCTGAAAAGTCAAGTCTTTTTTCCCACCCCAAACCCTGCAAACAAGGAAATAACTCTGAAATTCCACGATTGGCCAAGATATGGATTTAAAAAATGGGGTTTAGCCCATTTCACTTGAAAAATCTGCAATATACTGAATTCCAAGGAAGCCTAGGACATATAGGAAACTTGATGCTTACAATAAAGGGCATTTCTTTCCACATCTTTGTTTTTTATTATTATTTCTTTTTACCTCCCCTCGATCTGGATCAGGACTGCTGACAACAGCTGACTCTGCCACTGCTGGGTGTTGGATTAATGCACTTTCCACTTCAAAGGGGCCAATACGATACCTGGGAGAGAGGGAAGATGTGTCAGCTGCAGCAAGATGGGCCAGTCCACTGGTCTTTTCAAATTGCATTTTAACAGGCAAATGATCAAATCTAAAAGCAACTGACTTACCCAGCAGAATTAATGATATCGTCATCTCTTCCAACAAACCAGACATATCCCTCTTCATCCATAATCCCTCTGTCCCCAGTGACATAAAAATTTCCACGCACAGAGGCAGCAGTTTTCTCTGGATTATCCTGACAACAGTCAAAAAATATATCTGATTGTCAGTGAAACATAACACATCGACTTTGCAGTGGTGCTAAAAACGAACCAGAAAATTGTTCTCAAAATGAGTTTGTTCAATACTATTGTGTGTCTTCAACTGAAAGAAACAGAGCCATGTCAAATAGCAGTTTGGTGGTAGAAATATGTGAGAGGGGGGAAAGAGCACTTGTGTATATAAGATTAGAGCTTTAGAGAGAAAAGGCTGTGCTATAGCAAAATTCCCATCCATCACAGCAAATGACTAAAATGTGTGGCCCCTGTCTTCAGGGAAATGATTTTTCATTGCAGGGGGTTGCCACAATGACCTCCTGTCTATGGAAACTTTTTACCTTTAACTGTCAAGACCAAAATTCAAATGAGGTGACCTTCAGAAAAAAATTTCATTCTCTACATTGACCTGTAGATTACACAGGAAAAACATGTCGACAACAGACATAGTTAAAACCTGAAGTAACGATATCGAACGTAAAGAAATTTTTTATCACACAGCGAGCAATTACGTTAGACAAGTGGTTGTTTGAGGATGCTACAAATATCCAAGTATTATTTGGATTCACAAGAGGATTAAACACAAAGAAAGGTCCTCCAAAGCTTATTCAATATGATACTTCAAACGCAGTGGACAATAGGTTTGCCTGATTCTACTCTTTTCTTAAGAATATACTGCACCTCAGCACCACCACACAACCAATCAGGCTCAAAGTCCTCAAGTAACCTAGTGAGACCTTCTGAAGATCCTGGATGAAGTCCTGCTCCTGGCATAAATGAACAGAACTTTGCTCTGGGTCTCCCCTGAGTTTCTCAGCAGGCACAGACACAGCAGCTCAGGCTCACCAGGTACTCAGAGAACAGACAGAAGGGCCGTGTGGGCTGGATTCGGACAGCAATGCTGCCCTCTTCTCCTGCAGGCAAAACAGCCCCATGGTCATCTATGATCTGCAGAAAGGACACATCATTATTCCTTTGGTTAGCTCAGAGGAATGAATCTCTGTTCCAGCAGAGTGCAGGACAGAGAAGGGACACAGACAGCATTCCTTCCTCATCTACCCCCAACTGCAACATATCGACGTACCTGCACATCATAAGGGGGAACAGCTTTTCCCAAAGAGCCAGGTTTAATTTTCGTTCCTTTCATGTTGGCACAGATTGTCACCTGCGTAATAGATTTTTATTATTCTTTAAATTTTTTGCAACACCCTGTAAATTTTATTATTGTTTGCATTAGGCAGGACACGTCTTTGTGACTTTGTTGTGACAATGATCAAAGTACTGTGGTTCTTGAGAACATCAGTCTGGGATGTGAGCTGGGATGAAGTAAAGATGATGAAGGGATCTACTACAGTAATTTCATTTATTGCAAACGTACTGTTTCGGTCTGGCCATAACCTTCATGGATATCCAGCCCTGTCTGGATTTTCCACTTCGCCATCACTTCAGGATTGAGCGCTTCCCCTCCAGATAGACAGTGCTTCAGACTTGTGAACTTGTAGCTTGAGAGGAATAGCAAATGAAATAATTTTCTTAGCTCCTAAGAAGAGCAGTGTGTGGCCTTAACTGAACAGCCTCCCTTGGCTTTCCAAGTAAGTTCATCTAGAATTTCACAAGTTCCTTGGAAATGACAATAATCATCCTGTTACACAGACCTCGACTGGACTCCTAGATTGCTTGTGTTACCACTGAAGATAAAATGGTTCAACTCTGTGTCACTACAAGTAGGTTTTTCTGCTGGCACATGAGTGAGCAAATATGTTTTTTTTGGAAGGGCTGCATGAAAGGAGAAATCTAAACAAGTGCATCAGATATTTGCAGGAAGCTGAGTTATGTACCAACATCCAAGATCAAATAAAACACTGAGAATTTTATAGAGCAAAAGTAAGCCTGAGCTCTCTGCTAAACCTGAGTTGATTTTTGTCAAGATGAAAGACCTTTGTGAGAAGAGTAAGTACCTTACTGAGGATGTGAAAACTCCTTACAAACCACTTCTCACAACCTGAGTGTTTTACAGTGTAACAAACTGGTGCAAACAGCTGCCAAATAACTCTCAGCACGTGAAACTCCTCTTACAGCTCATTTCATTCTCAAGCATACGAGAACAACTTCACTGTACTTCAGTAATTCCCCGATCCAATGCTGCCTGAAACTTGACATAAACTTAAATTATGAACAATAAGTTCAGAGGAAGGGACAACTTAAAATAATCTCACTTATTTTCTCTGTGTTGTCTTTTCAAAGCCTGAGTGACCTATGGTGTGACTAGTTATTCTCATGTTTCAGAACACAGCTCTCTTTCCTGAGAGCCCTCTTCCTAATTAGATTTCCTTTAACTGAAAAAAAAATAAATTAGAAATAAGGAACTTGAGGAACTAAGCAGCCAGAGCTGTCACAGGATTATATCCCAGCCTCCCTCCTACCCCTGCAGTACCTGCTCAGATCGTGTTGGACCAGCATGCGGTAGGCAGTGGGAGCAGTGCAGAAGGTAGTGATGGGGTATCTTGAGAGAGTCTAGAAAAAGAGAAAGTTATTTTGTAGAAAGAAAAGGTAATGGTGGGTCAGACCTTGTAAAGGTGCAGGTGAGCAACCCAAGAGGCCAATGTTGAGGAGAATTGGTCAGCTGACTGGTTTTGCAAAGTGCCTGAGAGGAGGAATAGGCACTCTGGGAAGTAATTGAAAATTCAGGATAACAGTGCCCTAGTTTTGTTCTATGCCATATTCTGATAACTGGCCCTCACATTGGGCCCAAAGCAGCTGGAAGCCCATACCTGAAGTGAGCTTTAGGTTCAATATGGGACAAGGTAGCAGTGATCCCATGATTTTTGTATCCTGCATCTTTCACCAGTTCTCCTCCACACTGAAGCTGTGTCACATGGCTTAACCAGGAGTGAAAATACTTGTTCCTCTAGCTTATTGGGCACCAAAGGCAGGGAAGATTGCTTGGAATGTGGGGAGTACTATCCCTGCTGCTACAGAGCAATGGCACCCATGCACTGGAGACCAGCTTGTTTGCTTCAGTTTTGTGAAAGGGAAATAAACCTCCCAGTATAAAACGTTATGCTTACCTCTGCAATAACTGCTGGCTTAAACTGTGGCATGTGGTGTACAAAGACACAAGATCCACAGATCCATGGTGCAAAAAGACTGCCCCAAGCTGCTTTTACCCATCCAGTATCAGAGGTATTCCACATTATATCTGAAGGAGTCAAGTTCATCCAATGCCTGGTGATAAAACAGAGATGAAAAAGTTGCTACATAGGGTGCAAGAAACTCAGACACAGGATACTGCAGAATTCAAGGAAAAGGCAGGAGGCTTCCACTACAAGATTTGGTATCAGCAAGTGGGGCTCTGTAAAAAGTTTGTAAGAGTCAAACGGTCTTAAACATTTTCTTTTTTCCCATCATTCCCTTCTGTTTAACATTCCCAGCATTTGCTTTTCTCCTGAGCAGTGCAAAACACCCTTGGCTTGAGTTGCAGAATCTGGATCTAGATCAAAATACAAATTATTTCTATGGGCTCTCTATCACCAACTTCGAACCCAGAATGCCTTGGGAAAGGGCATCCTTTGATTTTCATGAAAATTCTCACTCTTTAAGAAGCATATTTAAAAGACATTCAGTGAAAGCAAAACAGCACCAAGCCACAGATTCAACCTGAACTGTAACTTTTAAGGTATAATGCTATAGCCAAGGTTGCTTTGGTTTCTCAAGGAAGGTTGACCCAGTACTAGAGCACATGACTTTCTCTGGTTTTGCCACAGGGACACTCCTTATTGCTCCTCTGCAGTCTGAGAGACAGAACACTGCACACGATGACCTCAACTGAGTCTTCCAGAAGCTTTTATTAATGAGGGTTTTACCATGAGAGGGGAAAAGATGAGGAAGAGGCAAGATCCTACAGTCATTGAAGGCCTACATTTACTGGAGTTTTACAGTCATGTTTCCAATGTAATGGGGATCATGTCACTTAATGAGGACACTGGGAGCAACTCCAAGGTAATACCTGCCACTGGTTGCAAATCCGATGCCATAACTGCTGTGGGACTGCACCACCATTTTTGGAAAGCCTGTAGTTCCACTTGTAAAATAGATCAGCATTGGGTCTTGACTTCTTGTCTTGACACATTTATGGTCAGCAGATGCCATCCTTCACAAGAAAAAGTATAACATAGTCACTATATGCATTTTTCCACCAAGGAATCTGTATTTCTAAGGTTTAGGAGTCAAACAGGAAAACAGCCCCAAACTCTACGATCTCACTAAATAAATAGTTGCAATAGATACCACAGGTAGGAATCAGAGAACACATTTTGCTCATAACAAGTTTGCTCTATATGCCATAACATTTAAGACATGAGCACCTGCAGTGTATTCTGGTGACTTTATCTGCAGCTGTTTTGCAAGGGCACACAAGGTACTTGCTGTGGAACACCAGGCAGATGCAAAATCAGCCTCTGCCTCAAGACATACTGACTCCCAGCCTGAAATCAACAGCAGCCATATGGAGGTTGTCATGCCAAGTAAGGTGGTCTTATTACTAACAGTATGCCATTTATGTTCAAGAGAGTGATGAACAATTCAGGTTCTCTGGACTACCAAGACAGTATAGGGAAGAAATAATTGAGCACCAAGAGCTGGCAGTGGGTATTTTAGAATTGAATCAAGAGGCATTAGAACAGGCTCTAGGAAAACAAGCACAAAACAACTGATTAGTACAGTGTGTGCTTGTCTTGTGATCACAGTAGAAGCAGAGAGCTTCTAAAAACTGGCAGGGTGCTGAGTGAGGGGACGCTGAAAGACCTGAATTTAGGTCCCAAAAACTATTGGATGAATCTGTACCTAATGCAGCGTAATCACACTGAAGTGATCTGACAAAAGGAGGAAAAAATGTAACTTATTTGTGTTATGGAAATGAACCCCAAAACTCAGCAATGTACCTGACTGGTACAGCCTCCTTCCCCTCTCAGGCATGAAGGTCAAACAACTGGATACTCACGCAACGAGTTCTTTGAGGTTCAGCCACCCAGCCCTGCTCCCTTTGCCTACAATTAGTTTACTTTTCAGAAACTGGCTGTCAGGCACAACAGATTCCACTGCAGGTGCCACTGTGTCACTGGTAATGATGCACTTGGCCTTTGAAGCCTGGAGTCGGTATAAGATGTCTTTGGCTGTCAGTTGGGATGTTCCTGGAATAAGGACAACTCCTGGAAAATAGCAACAAGCAGTTGAGAAAACTCAGCATTTCTCCAAAACACTCAGTCTCGTCCATGTTGGTGCTGAATTGTTCCATCATGGATGATGAGCAGTTTCAAAATGCAATGGGTCAAATCCTTCCTAAGCATTTGTAAAACTGCAACAGCAGAGGAAAAAAAAAAAGATTACATTGAATTATT